TCATATACAGTGGACCCGGACTTACGAGTCCCAATGTAATGTATGTTAAAACTGACTTATGTGCTTTTCAGCATAAAAATTTGACCCCAACAGTTGAAAAACTTGCATCATTTATCCCCTAGCGTTCAAAAAGCGCAGGCCCCGGGGTTAAGAAGCTCCGGGCCCAGGCTTTCAGATTTGGCGGGCCCCTTTGATTTCGGGTAAGCAAGCGACCCCTTCCAGCTTGGGGGGGGGTGGGGGGTCGGTGAAGCCCCGTTTAAGGTCTAAATTAAAAACATTCTGGCTATTTAGATTTAAATTTTTAGGAAAATCATAAAACAACCAAAACCATTTACCAAAACCATTATAACATCTTGTAAATCATCATTTTTAAAAAAGAAAAACCAAACAGCATGTATTACTTTTATTATTATAATAAAAAAAAAAGCGCAAGCCACAAGGTTATACAGGCTGCAGGTAGGGAAGGAAGCAAGGGAAAATTTGGGTGGCAAAGGGAGGGGGGTGATCACGGTTTAAGAAAACACGGGGGAGGGATAGTACCGGGGGAAAAGGGTACAAGGATTTGAAGTAGAAAGGGGTGAAAGATCAAATTTGTGAAAACAGTCAGTCGTTGTCAAAAAACAATGAAGGTCCCAAAAGAAAGGTGGCCATCACGAGAAGGGGAAAGGAAAAAAGAGCAGCGGAGCGAAGACGACGACAGAGTAAATTCTGCGTCCGTTGTAAAGTGGGCATTCCAACGAATGTGGCTGACTGATAAGGAGCTGGCAATTCTCACAAAAAGAGAAAAAGCCCCCATGAGATATCCATGAATAAGACATAGCCAATGCGAAGACGGGAGGAAAAGTCTCCCAAACCCGACACGGTGAAAGAAGACGGCCATAACCTTATCCGGTTTTAAAAAAGACTGAAATTTGTTTCCGAGCATAGTTTTACCCCAAAGTTTTTGCCAACGGGTGTGAAGGGGGGGGAAAAATTACACAAAAAATTTCCCTAAATGGAAACCCCCTATAAAAACTGGGAGGTCATTACTGCTGACCGCGCAGCATGTCCCTGTTCATTGCCCTGTACGTCAACATGACCCGGGGCCCAACAAAAAACTATCTTTATGCTTGGTAAAGATGCGGCGTAGCCAAAGTTGGGTAGGAGGACTAAGGGGTGAGGTTTATCAAATTTTTTTTATACCTGTAAAGCACTAAAGGGGGTCTGAGACAACCACAAATGATGACACGGGCAAATCAAACGGGTAATCGTAAAGATCATAAAATTCCGTAAAAAATACTAGCCGAAGAAGTAAATGCCCTTGAACGACGCTGCCGGGAAAAAACGCGCGAATCCTACCCGTCAAAAACTTAGAGCCATCGTGTACACGCAAAGGGTAGAATGAAGTGAAAGTGGCAAGAAAAGAAGCGGGAAGCGACCGTAGACATTGGGCTTTCGAGCAAGGGAGGGGGAAAAGAAACAACTCAACAGCGGAACTTTCCCGGGGGGGAGGGAAAAAAAATGCAAAAATGTACAAGAAAGGTGGTATTGAAGAGAAACAAAGCAATGAAGGCGAAAGAAAAAAGGGACGAGAAAAAGGGGGGGCGAACAAATAAAGAATTCTACTAAACATGCCATTTTATAAAGGAAGGGTTTCGGGGGATCATGAGAGCACATAGTAGCGAGGCAAAGGGGGACACGGCGATCGAAAGGTGGAACTCGCTTCTGCATAGGGCTTTTGACAGGGGAAAGGGAAAAGCACCAAGGGTAAAACGAATCCTTGTGATGGAAAGGGGTTAAGGCTAGAGAGAGTACAGGAGATGCCGCTGAATAGATCTGGTCACCAAAATCAAGTTTCGATAAAATAAGGGGTGGAAGAAACGAAGGAGGGTTCGACGACACTCCCCACGAAAGAGAGCAAGGGGGTTTTAAGAAGGTTCCGCCGGGTGTGACAAAATTTTCCCCAGAGAGGTAAAGTAGGTTTTCCAGGATAACCTACAGTCAAAGAGGGCCCAAAAATTGGGCTATCACTTCAGGAACGGGAGCCCCTGAGGTACAAAGGATGCGGGGAAAGACAGACGCAGTGAAAATGTTTGGTGGGTTTTTAGTGCTGGAAATTTAAACCCATGTGTGGGGTTGGGCCCAGTTTTTTTTTGGGAAACACGGTCGACGCATGTTGGAGAGAAACGTAAGAGGTGACAGTCACGCCGCCAGGCAATAGCGAAATCACAACAAGAGTGAGACCAAATAAATTTTAGAAGACAGAGGCAAATCATATACAAGGGAAAAAGTGTTTTGCTCAAACCACCCTGGGGGACACCACACGGAAAAGTCCGGGGAGAGCACATTATTAACCCGAACACGGAAAAGCCTGTCATTAAAAAGTTTTTAAGGGAAAGGGTGGTAATTGCCTCGAAGGCCAAGGGTGGGGTTGGGTTAAAATATATACCCCAAGTTGTGTCATAAGCCTTTTCAAGGGCAAAAAATATGGCAATAAATGATGGTTATTCGCAAAGGCATTAAAAACAAAGTATCCAAGCGGGAGTAAGGGGGCTATGGTAAACTCCCTACAAAGCCATATGACAAGTGGAGGACGTTGTGTGTCTCTAAATACCAAAAATAAAAGTCTATTTACTAACGTTTTCCCTTTCTTTCAAACTGCACTGGTAAGAGCAATGGGGGATATTGGGGGATTTCTGTCCCTATCCTGTTGCGGAAAGGAGAACAATGGCGGGTTTCCCCAGCTGTGGAAGAACTCCTTTTGACCAAATAGATTTTAAAAGGGGTAAAAGGGCTGCAAGGTGACTGATGAAATGTTGTAGATACAATGAATCCGCGGCCCCCGCTGCCGATGACGACAAGCGAAATTTTGCCCCCCCCGTTCTTTTAAAGGAAAAGGCACTTTTAAATGTTCTTCCGAGAAAGAAAAACCAAGGGTCTAATCTCTGGCAACTTTTAGGAAAAAAAAATAGGGGCATGATGGGGTCCCTAGAAAACGGACCAGAGAATTTCCAATTTCATTGGCAAAACTAGTGGGTTTGCATATCAAAACCGCAACCCCCCCAAACAGGGGCCGGGGAGGAAAAAATTTTCCACTCAGTTTTCGTACTTTTTTCCAACTGCACTCAGAGGAAGCAGAGGTGTGGTGGAACAAACCGCCACAAGTGCTTTAGCGTCACGAACACGGCGAGCGATCGCACGCTTTTTGTTTAAATCAAGGGGTCCCCCTCTTTGGGGGTTTATTGACCGGGGACCTGCCCCATGCAGCGCGTTTCAAACGACTGCACGAGCACAAGCAGGAGACCCCAAGGGACCATTTCGAGAATCCGCCCGAAAAATTTTTGGGGAAAAGAAGGGGAAGCGCGGTGAAAACGAGGACGAGAAAGGTGTAAAAGCTCAACGATGGGGGACAAGAAGGAAACCCCTTAAAAACTTGGTGGAGAAAGGTTCCAATTTACCCGTTAAAATTGCCAGCGGGGTGCAAGAGGGGGGCGAAAAAAGAAGGGGAAGTAAGAAGATTGGGGAAGACACGCATGTAAGCCGGGGGGAAAACAAGTGAAGTCAAAAAGCGGCGGAGGAAGAGCGATTTGAGGTCGATGCAAGAGGAGAAGTCCGAGGGGTCAAATATATTAAAAGATTAGGCTTTAAAAAATAGTGCATCATGTACCTATTTTATTCAGCATAAACCCCGCACATTATTCCCCCTTTTAAATCACTGACCATTAGTTATCATTTCATCATGCATAAGCTATCAAATCATAAAAAAATAAAGAAAATTGGGGGAGGGAAACCCCAAACTCACCCATTTCGGAAAACACAGCTTTCTGATGTAAACAAAGGGGTGTTGAGTTTGCCAACTATGGCTAGGTTTATTTATTTTTATTTTTATTTTATTTCATTATTTTTGTTTTTATTATTTTTAAAAATCAAATTTCTCCCAAACACTTTAACTTTTTAGGTAGGGGGCTCCTTTGCACTTTCACCATGTCGCAGTCTTGATGAGCCCCTGAACCCTTTTGGGCCGTGGGCCCCCAAATCACAGGGCCCTAGGGAAATGCCTAGTTTTCCTATCAGAATCCGGCCCTGTTCCCCGCGTCGTCTGGCCCAAAGCCTCAGCTAGCTTGTTGACAAGTTTACAAAACCGGGGGAGAAATGGTTTCACGTTAGGCTTTTGCTAAAAATGCCACCATGGGGCCCAAAAAAAAGGTTCTAGTGCCAAACCCTTTGGTAAAAAGGGTAAGAAAAACTATCGTACCATGGTCACTTACAAATCAAAGAGTGAAAACGTATTGGTGTGCTTATCGAAATACCGAGAAACAATAACCCAAGGTTTTGGCACCCAGGAAATGCAAGAAAAGTTTTAAAATGTCATCGAGGACTAACTTATTTTTCCCTTGGGGTCCTTTTAAACTTTTTCCCCCGGATCGACCCACCCCATCGACTAACACCCGGTGAACAGGGAAAAAAACCCGGAACTAGTGCTCATATTGGCGAATTTAAGTCCAGCAAAGGTTGGTTTTAGAGATTTTAAAAATCGTAGTGCATACACAGGTGATAAGGCCCATTCGGAAGAAAATCCAAACAGACCACAACCCATTAGGGAAAGGGACCCAGGACAGTCATCACAAATATGAAAAAGGACATTTATTCTTTATTTAGTACACAGTACAAACACAATATAATTGTGCAGTATCCTCCTTTTGGTTTTGGAAAATTATATTTTATGTGGAAAATTTTTTTTTTTATACTTTTTGGAGTCTGAATGGGTTAATTTGATTTTCCTTATTTCTTATGGGAAATTAATTTGACTTCAATAATTTTTATCTTACAATGTGATCTTAGGAACTGATTAATATTGCAAGTTGGGGGCCCTGTATAACAATTTTTTTTTTTTTAATGGAATGTACTGCAAACACCATTGAGGGTTGGGTTTTAAAGCCTATCTACTACATGGGCATGATTTATTGGGTTTTAAAGCCATCTACTTTCAGAGGGTTTTAAATTTTTTTATTGGGGGTTTTAAAGCCTCTCTACTACACAAAGGTCATGATTTATTGGGTTTAAAGCCCATCTACTACACAAAGGTTATAACTTATTTATTGGGTTTAAAGCCTATCTACTATACAAAGGTCATAATTTATTTATTGGGTTTAAAGCCAATCTGCTACACAAAGGTCATGATTTATTGGGTTTAAAGCCTATCTACTACACAAAGGGCATGATTTATTGGGTTTAAAGCCTATCTACTATACAAAGGTTATAATTTATTTATTGGGTTTAAAGCCTATCTACTATACAAAGGTCATGATTTATTTAATGGGTTTAAAGCCTATCTACTACACAAAGGGCATGATTTATTTATTGGGTTTAAAGCCTACTACACAAAGGTCACTAATAATTTATTGGGTTTAAAGCCTATCTACTAATCAAGTCATGATTTATTGGGTTTAAAGCCTACTACTACACGAAGGTCATGACTGATTTATTGGGTTTAAAGCCTATCTACTACACACAAGTCATGATTTATTGGGTTTAAAGCCTATCTACTACACAGGTCATGATTTATTGGGTTTAAAGCCTATCTACTACACAAAGGTCATGAGTGATTTCCCGAGTTGAAAGCTTATTACACGGTTATGATGGATTAATTGGGTTTGAAGCCTATCTACTACACAAAGGTCATGAGTGATTTCCCCGAGTTAAAAGCTTATTACACGGTTATGATGGATTTATTAGGCTTAAAGCCTATCTACTACACGAAGGTCATGATTTATTGGGTTTAAAGCCTATCTGCTACACGTCATAATTGCTCCAGTGGGTTTAAAACCTATCTAATTCATGAAGGTCATGGTTTACTGGGTTTAAAGCCTATCTACTACACAAAGGTCATAATTTATTGGGCTTAAGCCTATCTACTACACAAGTCATGATCGATTTATTGGGTTTAAAGCCTATCTACTAATCAAGTCATGATTTATTGGGTTTAAAGCCTACTACTACACGAAGGTCATTAGTGATTTACCGAGTTCAAAGCTTATTACACGAAGGTCATGATTGATTTATTGAGTTTAAAGCCTACTACTACACGAAGGTCATGAGTGATTTCCCAAGTTAAAAGCTTATTACACGAAGGTCATGATTGATTTATTGGGTTTAAAGCCTATCTACTACACAAGTCATAATTGCTTCATTGGGTTTAAAACATATCTACTTCATGAAGGTCATGATTTACTGGGTTTAAAGCCTATCTACTGCACAAAGGTCATAATTTATTGGGCTTAAAGCCTATCTACTTCACGAACGTCATGATTTGCTGGGTTTAATAATCAAGAAGCACTAAACCCACTAGGGTATTGGGTTTAAAGTCTTTTTACTACACGGTCATTAAGGCTGCATGTAACCTATGCACCACCTGTCAAGAATACTTTTAATACCTAAAACATTAACCAAAGTCCAGTAATATTGAACAGGTGTTCAGCTTTAAATCATCTCAAAATTACTAAGAAGTTCCTATATCAATTTTTAAAAATTATAATCATAACTAATAACTAAACCCAACGGGTCATACATAACCATAAAGCGCTAAACGTACAAGGGTCATACATAACCATAAAGAAGCGTTAAACCTACAAGGGTAATATAACCATAAAGAAGCGCTAAACCTACAAGGGTCATACACCGTTAGGATCTCAAAGGGTCAACACCCCCCCCCCCAAAAAAAAAAGCTTTTGGAAAATATGAATAAATTTAACTTGCATCAACTTAAAACATGGCAACTGAAAAAAAAATATAATATCAACTTTAAATCAATTTAAAATAATAAACATTAAAATCAGTAACTACGAAAAAAAAAACATATATTATGACATTTAAATCTTAGTTTACTAGAATAATTCAACAAGGCATCCACCATATTCACGTATCCATGGCAACAAAGTCCATATATAAAACGCTGGATAATAAATTAATGCTTCAGCGAATAATAATTTCAATTAAAATCTATAGTAGCGATATAAGTGGTAGTGACAAATGGTAAGGTCGTAAAAGTGGTAAAATAACATAAGTGGTAGACAAATGGTAAAGGGATAAGTAATCACTTATAAGTGAAAGTGACAAACGCTACCACTTACCATAAAGGCTAACAGTTACTACTGAACTCGTCTGCTTCAACTGGAATAAAAATAATTTCACAGAATTACTACAACAGATTATATATACATACTGTTTATATTACCATGTTGGTTTAGAAAGACACGTAAGCAAACACTGACATATTTATTAGAAAACGTTTCGGTCCTGGAACCTTGATCACTTCTAACATACAGGTCACGTGCGTCACACCTCACTCTCCGCCTATATATATAATGTCTTTCTACCTCTGTATGTTAGAAGTGATCAAGGTCCCAGGACCGAAACGTTTTCTAATAAATATGTCATAGTGTTTGCTTACGTGTCTTTCTAAACCAACTTGTCGGTATTTATTACCAAGGTTTATACCATATTACCATGTAAATCCACTAATTATAAATAACCAGTAATTTAAGAGAAATAAAGGAAAATATGTCTTACCTGAGGAGCGCGCATCCTCACTCCTCCCATGCATGGCGCCAGTTTACGCGGGCTACCTGCACCACTACCAGACTGACGTAGTAATCTGAGCGCTCTCATTGGCTGATCAAGTGACGTCACGACTGCTGGGTCTTGGCGCTCAAGCCCGTGACGTCAGGCTAAATCTACGCTGTAATTGGCTGTTGCTTCCCGCCAACTTAGCAATTTGCTTTTTGAGTGCTGATGGACTTTTGATCCAAGGATTTGGAGCAACCTTACCCTAATAAAAACCAAATAGAACATTTATAATGTAGAAATATCCCAGAATAAATGAGAAAATATTTTGTATACTGAATCTCTCAATGCACACAGAGAGAACAAGTATATATATATACACATTGATATGCTATATACACACATTTCAAGTTTACATCAATCCCCACAACCCCTGGGGAATGGAATATATCCCCCGCAGAGCCCGAGGAATGGAATATATCCCCCGTAGAGCCTGGGAAAGAATATATCCCCCATAGCCCCTGCGGAATGGAATATATCCCGAGGAATGGAATATCCCCCATAGCCCCTGGGGAGTGGAATTATCCCCCATAGCCTGGGGAATGGAATATATTCATTACTGGGAATGGTGGCTGAGATTCATTGGATCAAGATCCTCCCACCGTGGCCATGGTCCAAAAAATTTAAAATAAACGATCACTTAAGTGGTAGTGAATGGTAAAGTGACAAGTTACAACCGATCATAAACGATCACTTGTAAGGGTAAAATGACAAATTACAACTTAACACTTTCCAGTAGTGTGTAATGACAAAGTTACAACCAATTACTTATAACTGGTAGTGACATGCCAATTATTAGAGGTAAAGTGGCAAGTTACAACCACTTATGTAAGTGGTTCGTGCCAATTGACAACCACTTACGTAGAAAATAAGTTACCATATTTTACAAAATTATTACTTTTAGAATATAATTTACTTTAATAACCATATAAAAGCATTATTTAATGTAAACGACCAGTAATTTTTGAAGAAATGAGGATAAAATTATTACGAGTGCGCCCCCCCCCCCCCCCCGCCACTTTTCTCCCGTGCATGACTGAGGCGCCGGTTTCGCGGGCACCACCACCAGTCACTAGGAGCCGGTGAAGTGATTGGCTGATCGACAGGACGTATGTTTGGCCAAGTGGGCGTCACGATTACTGACTGGCTGCTGGGTCTTGGCGCTCGAACCCGTGACGTCATAGGTTAACTCGAGACTAATTGGCTGCTGCTTCCCGCCAACTTTGTATTTGGCTGTGGCCAGGACATTTTGATGAGCTCTTGATCCAAGGATTTGGAGCACCCCCCCCCAATAAAAAACAATTAAAATGTAGAAATAGGTCCCGAAATGAGAAATATTTTATATATATTCTGAATCTCAATGTATATACACCGAGTATATATACATGTATATAAACATTACAAGTGTATATATACACTTGACCCACGCGTGGTTAAGTTTTGAAACTCATTAATCATTTGGGGGGGCTAAGTGACCTGGCTTTGCGCTTCCTAGAGCGGATTTCACACATTGGCGCCAAGAACGCGAGTTAATGGCGCCAACTGAGCGCACATGCTGTGCCGTGGCATATACGGTAAAGCGCTAAACCCGTAGGAGCTCGGACTCGACCCCCGCAACCTCAACTAGGTGAGTACAGTGCCTGGGGAATGGAAGTCACTACTGGAAATAGTGGTTCAGATTCCTTGGATCAAGATCCTGCCCGTCAAGGTGATATTAAAGGCCACTTCCAGAATATATAAACTAACGACCACTTACGTAAGTGATAAAGTGTAAAAGGTACAATTATAATTGACCACATGCAAGTGGTATTGTGATGCCATACTAAATTACCACTTAATTGGTGGCGACAAATTACAAGACCATAAACGACCACTTATAAGTGACATTAGTGAAGTGGCAAGTTACAACCATAAACGACAGTGATAAAACGACATACGTTACTACCCACCACTTACAATTTGTAGACAATTTACCATTTAGTGCTAGTGACAACTTATATAAGTGGTACATGACAATTTACAACCACTTAAGTGGTGATATTAAAAGTTACTTGCCATATTTTGCAGTATTACTATTTCAGATATACATACACTATATTACCATGTAAAAACAATGTAAATGACAAGTAATTTAGGAGAAATATGGGAAAATTTCTTACCAGAGGAGCGCACGCCCTCACGTCATCTCCTGCACAGTACTTCAGGCAAATTTACGCGGGCTCCCGCACCACCACCACTGTGACGTAGTAGTCTGTGCACTTTGATTGGCTCGTCAAGTGACGTCACGACTGCTGATTGGCTGCTGGGTTTTGGCGCTCGAACCCGTGACGTCATAGGTTAAATCTAGGCTGTAATTGGCTTCTGTTTTCCGCCAACTTAGTAACTCTCGTTTTCATTGGCTGTGGCCAGAGCGGTGACATGCATATACATGGCAGGTGATGGGCTCTTGATCCAAGGATTTGGAGCAATCTCCTCCTAATAAAAATAAATATATTAATGTAGAAATAGCCTAGAATAAGGAAATATTTTATATGATTAATATCTTAATGGTCCTAACATGTATTATAAACATTGGCGCTAATTTATCGGCGCAAATTACTGCGCCACTATAAGAAGTGTTACAGGGGCGTTACTCTAAACCACTTAAGTGATAGTGACAACTTACCACTTACTAGTGACAAACTTTCCTCTTGTATGTGGTAAAGTGACAAGTTACAACTCACAAAGTGGTGGTGACAATTTACACTAAACGACCTCTTGTTAATGTTTCAACCCATCATAAACCAGCACTTATAAGTGGTAGTGACGTAATAAATGGTGACAAGTGCAAGTTACATAAGTGACCATATAATATAGTTAGCACTTACCATATAAAGTTAGCTGCTGAACTTAGTTTCAACAAATTTATTGGAACAAAAATCAATAATTGCACAATTACTTTAAAAGATATATATACTGTTATGAACATGTAAAAGCATTAGTTAATGAAAACAACCAGTAATTTAGGCGATATAAAGGAAAAAAAAATGCTTACCAGAGGAGCGAACACCCTCACGTCAACTTCTCCTGCGCATGACTGAGGCGCAAGTTTTTGCCGGACTTATGCACCACCAGACTGTGACGTAGGAGCCTCTGAGCACTTTCATTGGCTGATCAACCATGATGTATACATCCTCAACAGTGACGTCACAACTCTTGATTGGCTACTGGGTCTTGGCCGTCGAGTCTGTGACGTCATAGGTTAAATCGTGGCTTTAATTGGCTGCTGCTTCCCGCCAACCTAGCAATTTTAGTTTTACTTAGCAGTGGCTCTTGATCCAAGGATTCAGAGCAACATTTACCTAATTAAAAATGAATGTATACATTTGTAGTATACTTTAATCCCTTATTTGAGTTATAAGGAATTCTCCCCCTAGAACGGGCTCAGCGCGAACGAAAAAATTTTGTCGAAAAATTCACAAATTGAGTTAATCTTATAGAAAAATAGCTTAACTCTCTGGCAACACAATGGTACAAGAATCATTGTTCTACGACATTCCAACAAGGAATTATGGTTAGGTTAGGTTAGGTAAGGTTCGTCAGGAAACAGGACAAATGTTTCCTGACGCGGGTCTTAGTCAGTTGATGACCCGCCTTTGGAGCTTTTGGTCATCTGACCGAGGCCTTCCGCAGGCTTACCGGTCCACCCCTTTAAAAATTATGGTCATTTATAACCATTGTTACTTGTAGGAATTATGGTCATTTAAAACACCTAGGGTGACGTCACCACCCGCGGCAGGTCTGCTCACCTGTCGTCAATTTTCGTTTTTTTTTCGGTTTTTTTTCGTGTATTTATTGTATTATTCTTTCTAAGATAATAGTTGACGATTTAGCATCATAATACAGAGAGTGGGACTTGTACGTAGACTTACAGCCAATCAGGAACCTCCTGGCAACATCTTGCTGGCGTCATGGAAAATTCCAGTCTCGGGATGGCCGGGGAATATGCTTCAATATAACGCTATTATAGCTTCTACGGCTTATTTATCTATCACAATTGATCTAATATGACATAATAAACAATATAAATAACAAAGAAATATGGTAAATACTCCAGAATGAATAATATATGGCATATTTTTAGAGCGTTCCCGCGGGAATATAAGATTCCTATAGTCAGGGATAGCTTCCATTCTCCTTCTTTCACCTCCAAGGTCCTTATATTAAAGAAAACGAACATGGGTAACTATGATATACGCTCGTAATGCTGAGAAAAATGCTATTTTCTCGAAAAAAAAGAAAAATCGGTGGTCCGGCTGTTTCGCGGATTATCTCGGAAGTAGGTTATTCACATATATATGTCTGTATTTTTGTTAATAATAGCAGGAATGCAATGAAATTCACAGAGAACATAAAGGAAAGATTGTTTTACAAGCTGGTGGTTAGCATTTTGATATATCATAATTTGTTTTTTGATTTTTGTAAGGGCAAAAGTCAGATATTTGGCTGAATGTCAAAACCATACAAACTTTATTTTTTTAAGAATGAAGAAAGGATAAATTACAGTAAACTTAACCATCAGAAATACAGTTTAGCATTGTTTTATGCGTAGGTAATGCCAAAACTGCTTCTCCAAGTCCCATTACGAAAATACAGTTCAATATGTATTGTGGAAAATTACATTTATCTGAATGTAACTCATTATGTACATAACAGTAAATGATAACAAAGATAATTATTATTTATCAGTTACATAGACAAGTAGGAATTTGGGACACCTAGGTCGAAAAAATGTCCCCCTTCAATACCTACAACTGTCTTATCCATAAGTTGCTCTAGACCTATTAATTACAAATGAAAGATACATCACCAGGAATTCTGGTAAATATATAAATTTGTGGACTGTATATTAAACTAATAAAGGATTATATATATATACTCATTTACATAACAGAAGGAGAATATCTTAAAATCACTCACCAATTTGACTGGAGATCAAGGTGTATCATACTCAGAAAACCTCACTGTCTATACATGAAAATAACACTGGCCAGAGTTAAAAACATCACAGACTTATCTTAGGTTCCTGGAGCTGTCTTGTCCAGTCGCCTGATATCTCAAGTTATGCAGGAATGCACATCCAACAATTTCGCCTTCTATTTGAGAGGTGTCAGCCCAATTTTAACCTCTAGAGCACGAAAAATTCTTCCCATTCACTGTCTGTTACTCAATTCAAACAAAAATGGCGAGTTTCGTCTGCGCAGGAGCAGCTTCCCATTTTCTATAACAAATTTTTATTAAATACAGTATGGCCATCTATTTACATATAACTACTGTATTTCTGGAAAATATATACAGTATTTTCCACATGTATGATTATTAGTAAATAATTTTTTTCTCAGTTGTTTTTTAGCTATCGTATTGAAACTTGGTCACATTACAATGGAAAGGTGCTTCTTTACGTACAAAAAAATGAAAGAAATCGAACGAAAAATAAAGAAGTTCAGGCGCGAACGCAATTTTCCCCCTTAAGACATTTAACCTCGCATCGTCTGAGACACTGAAACTTCGGCGTTTCTGATACCTTAATCTTCAGTGCGTCTGAGGCATTTAAATCAAGGCGCATCTGGAACATAAACCTCGTCGCGTCTGAAACATCATCCTCGGTGCGTCTGGTGATGCAAGGGTTGCGTGCAGCCTTAATGACCCGAGAGTAGTCGATAGGCTTTCAAGGGCCCCATGGAAATAAGTCAATTTGTTTGACCTTTTTCGGGTTATCATAGGTAATTTACACATATGTTTTACTGTGTATGATAATTTGTGTAAAGGTATTTAAGTGTACCTGTACCTAAATAAACTTACTAATCCTTTCCCTCATTAACCAGCCAATTAATGGTGTCTGAGCCAGACACTCATAGCAACAAGTTATAGATTAATTACAACCTTCTGCAACTTAACACGACGAACAAATAAGTATGAATCTCAAAAAAAAAAAAAAATGGAAATGTAATTATGTTAGCCAAGCCATTATTTCTCTATATATATCTGAATGAGTTTACGGTAGCTGTCTTCTGGCTGCCAGCAATGAAGAACATGAAGAAAGATTGTATTTACGGAGCCTATTTTTCGTGATAGTTGAACCGGAGAGAGATTTTCGTATTAATAGTTTGGTTTTTCTATGTATTCGTTTTTAATGTGATTGTATATATTGTTGTAGATAAGAATAATGTGGTGTTGGCCTCGAGAGATCCCGTGCTAACTACCGGAGAGCGTGAGGATAATAGCAGGTTAGGGGAGCAGGAAGCCGGGAAGAGGGGTTACGTTAGGGAGTGGGGAAAGGGGACCCTGGGAGAGGAGGGGAGAGAATTCGGGAAGGGTGGGGGTAAGGGAGACGGGGAGGGAGATGGGAGGAGGAGAAGGGCATATCGGTAGCGAGGACCAACAGCAGTGTGTGTGTTGGGGTGGTGTTGGTGGGGTGTAGACTCCCTCTCATCCGTCCCTCTCCTACTGCCCACTCCGTCTTTCTTTCTCTATCCCTCTGTCCGTAAAACTGTCACTTATCCTTCTCTCAGTCTGCGTCTGTTCTCCGAGGCCTGCCCCACGTGTTCTAGGCATCTTGAGTACCTTCCTGTAGTAGGAAAGTAAGGTCAAGCAACAGCAGTACACTGAACATCGAACTCAGAAAAACATTCTGAGCTCGAACACTTGAATAGTCCAATGTTAATGCTCCTGCCACGTTCTTCTCCAGTACCTGAATGCTCCACAAACCAGCGAGCAGAGTCCTAGAAAACAGCATTTTTTTTAGGAACACTGAGTGCTCTGTGTTATAACCTGTTGTGTGCCACAACCGACCGTCGACTGCCGCAACAGGCCGTCGTAATCCACGACCAGCCGTTGGATATCACAATAGTTCGGTGTAGTCTATACCTGGTCGTCGTGTTCCACAATAGGTCGTCGTGGTCAATATCCGTTTGTCGTGATCCAAAGCAGGCCGTCGTGGTCAATATCTGGTATTCGTGGTCCTCATCCAACAACCCAGACACTCGCTCCCACATATTGACAACCTGAACAGATCAGGCATGAGATGTCTTCGTTTAGGGAGACTGCTCACGCTTGGCAAAGATAGATTTTTGTTTCTTTGCACATAGCGTCTGCAGAGATCATGATATATAATTCCCCTGGCGACATATTGAGAGATGACATTACACAATGTGTAGTGATATATGAGAAAAGTAAAAAAAAAAATATAAGAAATGCAATTTTTAAAGTAACATAGGAGTGTTCCTATATGCGTATGTAGCATTACGAATTTACATTTCCCAAACACCTTAAACGGGAATTCGGGTTTTTAAAATTAAAACCCCAAAACTTTCCCCCAAACTTTTGACAATAACCAGATTCCTTTTAAGCTTTTTTGGGAGTGCCTCCTTTCAAAGTTAGTTTTTTAACTGGGGCCCCAAAAAAATGATTAAATTTTTTCCCCGGAACCATAAAAGAACTTTTCAAAAGGGTTTTTTTGAAAAAGTAAAAAAATTAAAAAAAAGGGCAAAAATGCCCAAGGGGGCCTTGGAGGTCTTCCAATTTCCCTTTCCTAAAACCTCAGACGAACAACAAAAAAAGAAAATGAGGGGAAAGTAATTTAACCAAAGGGGGAGTAATACCAAAAAACTCAAGAATTCGAAAAGCGGAACTCTCGAAAACCCCCAATAACCCGGGGGCCAAACCCAACGAAAAGACCCCCTAAGCATAAAAACTTTCACAGCAGAAAAAGGCACCGGGAAAGGGGGCCCTTTTGGCAAGCAAGGCCCCGAAAAAATTTCAGGGGCCCAAGGCAAAACCCGGAGCAGCAAAAACCAAGAAAAAATTTCCCAAAGTAAAACCCCAAAGGGAAAGGAAGACCCAAAACAAAAAACAGGAAAACCCCAAAAAAATCCCAGGGGGAAACCAAAAGGGAACCATAACAGAGGGCCTCAAAGACCCAAACAAACGAAAAGAACGAAAACAACAGGGGGAAAACCCGAGAAAAGTAAAAACAAACGAAGAAAAAAATTTTTCTACACCAAAACCAGAACAAAAAACAAGTTAAAGGATCCTTTTTGAGGGGGCAAAAAAAGCGGGGCCAAAAAGGAAACCCCCCAAAACCAAAACCCAACAAAAATTTTTCCCAAAAGCCAACGTTTTACCCA